TTTCTTATGTCTCCGACCCTGTGTACGAAAATTTTAGCCTCTTTAAAGTGATAAAAGTGGGTGTTGGCTTTTAAAAGGTTGACAAGCACTGTTCTACCCTTCTGTTGATGGTGGGGAATTTTCATGACAGCAGAGAAGAGAAAACATCACAATAACTTTCCTTGCTTAAAAAAAAAAATGTTTTTCGGGGATGAGTTTTACTGCACTCGTAACTGTGTAAGTTCATATGAGCACTTATCAGGGTTTTCTCAAATTATGGATGTGTGGAACACATTATTGATGATGATATATGGTAACTCCCAACTTGTTCCAGATATCCGCGCTCCACTGTACATTTTAAACCACTTATTAATTGAATGTAATGGAAAGGAGAGAGAGAGAGAACCGTAGGACTAGAGGAAACAATCGCACAAACCCAACCAAAGCCCTGTCAACCTCCCACATAAATTGTCTATGGCCACAGAGACTTTGCATTGGTAACTTTGGTGGTGAGCTCTCGTATCCTCATGATTGTCATGAGTTTTGGATCTTTTTTTCCTTCTTGGACTGTTGATTAGCTGTGCACGGGGGGAAAAGAGGCAGTCTGGTGAAGACCTGATTAGAGAGCAGGTTTATAACCTTGCAGTTACAGCTCTGATCCACAACACTGAAGTAAAAGTACAAGTGTATGTTCTCTGTTTAAGAGAACTGTTTCGTCAAGAGGAAGACGAAACCGTAACAGTTGTAGCTGCCCGACTTGATGTCTGATCTCCTAATTCTCTCAGTTCTAGGAGAGTGGCTGCCTGTTTAGTCTCCAACAGACTAGGCTTTGGTAAGTAAGATTTTAGTTTTGACTATTTGTTGTCAGCGGGAGGGTCAGTGATGATAGGTAGGCCTCTTGTTGCTGTGGTTGCTCTGAGGGCTGACACTACATGGTAGTGCTTTGTTGTATCAGAAGCCGTTATTTCTCACAGTGCAATTTGTTTTGGTGCAGATGCAAAATAGCGACAGTACATAATGAGGAACGCAAGAGCTCACCACACTTTGTCATTATGACAGCTGTACTAATCGAAACATGTGACAATCTTGTAAAAACTACTGGCTGTAAGTAACAAGCAATATCAACAGTTGGCAACTCTATAGTTGGGATGTACAAATATATTATTAAACTAGCACTAGGAGTACCGCATTAGATTTAATAAGGAAGTCAAAAGTGTTAAATAATTATTATTTAAATGCAAAATTTCACAGTGAAGAACTTAAACACGAGCGACTTCATGAAGCTGTCAAAACCCTGTAAATCTAAACTTAATACTGCAATGATGAATATGACTTTACAGCACAAAACAACGAAACCATGACGCGAAAGACTGCAAAACCAGCAAGCTGCAGAGAACTTCACACACTAATATGTGAAATGCTGAGGTTGAAGGAAGCAACGAGTTATATAGAGGAAAATGTCACAGTCACAGGCAGATTCTCTATCTCATTTTGTTACTTTATATTTATAGAAGAACAAAAAAAAAAAAAGATTGAAAGTAACTATTGTTATAACTGAAAAGAGTCTGGGGAGAAGAATCAATGTCACTTTCTACAATCTCATTTAACCATACTTTTGGTTCTTTGACATTTTTCTTAAAATATAGGTGTTTTTTACGTCCCTACTGACACAATTTAGATCACTTAGGAGGCCGGCTTCGACTGTGCCTGTCAGGGCTAACCCGGGCGGAGAGGGATACAGCATCCAAGCAAAAAGACCAAGATACTCTCTATATATATATAAAAATTCTCCCCACTCCGGAATGGAACTCAGGGTTTCCAGCATACAGCGGTGAAAAGCCTAACCGTTACACCACAGATGTCGGCTGCGTACTTTTACGACTTGTCTATGTCTTTGAATAACTCAAGAGATGAATACAACATCGATAATGTCTTCTTGATATTGGCTTTCTCACTGTAACATCGACAAAACACCAGAGGATAACCAGAGATTAACGGAGGGCAGAGCGAAGCGAGGACACGATGATGGATGTTCTTTCAACAGTTCTCACTCTATGTCGACGATCAACGAACGAGCGAGAATCACCAGAAGTTTATCATTTCTTCTGTGTTTATTCTTTGGGTAGGCGGTGTTGGACTCATTTGCTATCAGAAATGTGTTCTCCTCAAATTTTTTGTTGCTTTTATTAAATTATTTAACGCATCTGAATCACAATATTATTCTAATGCTGGTTCAAAAAAAAAAAGAAAAGAATTCCAACTGATTTTCCCGCCAGCCTCCTACAGTAACTTCAACAACACAGAAAAAATAAGCTGCATGGCTCCTGGGTTGTTTAGTTGAAAAACGAGACGGGCAGACAAACTAGGTTACAGAATACAGGCGTGTCAGGACACAACACTTCTGCTGCACACTCTCTTTTTTGTTTTGGTAAGTGTTTTACGGTGCTCGCAACTGCATAAGGCAAAGGTCATATGAGCGTGTGGGACACATTAAACATTTTCAGGTGGTAGGAAATTTTGAATTTTACCCGGGAGACGGCCTTTGGCGGCCATTTTACTTCTGAAACCAGGCGATCCTGACCTTCAACTGCAAATATTTCGACTTCAATTTAACATAGAAGGATATTTTTTTCATGAAAAGGAAGGCAAATGAACAAGCTTTAAGATGATACCAATAACTCGATATGCCCCCAAAACTGACGAGAGCCTGATTCCACCACGTTGCGACACATAAAAAATGTTCCCCATGATTCTACATTGACAAAGACAGCTGTAGAAGATAGAAAATGAGCAACTTTATGAGCCGCTCAGTGGCTAAAGCATTTGGTACTATGTAGATCAAAGTTAGAATATTATACCATCAAGTTTTTTGTTTGTTTTTTTTAAATTGTAGATTATGAATACAGTAATTTAGTAATGGATGCTGAGGGGGGGGGGGGAGATCGATTGTCAGGTTTATTTGCAAAAGATGTATTTCTACTCAAAACCTAGACCAGAATCTGAACACACTGGCAAGAACACATTTCAGATTTTCACAAAAAAATAATAATGCTTAGGAAAGATGTGAAGCAGGCTCAGGCTAGGTAAACACCACACATAAATGCACAGGCTGATAGAAATTCATGTGACCGATTTATAGACTTGATAGCTGCGAAACAATAGAGTATCAAAGATACCCGTGCCCTATTGAATAATAAGATGCAGAAAAAGATAAATAACATATAATTAGTCATACACACCACAACCTTACAAAACAAAACTAAAAAAGGACAGGAGTGAAATACTTTGGACAAATGTACAGGTATTTTTTTAAAATGTCAACCTACACACAGAAACTACGTTCTCTAAAACATATGGATGGGAAGAAAATTTACATGTTGGCAGGCATGGGGCCAGAAAGAAAAAAAAAAGAAAAGAAAGAAAAACATTACTGAAAAAAAAATACCCCCAAATAGACAATGAATGAACAGTACTGCTGAGGCTTAATAGCCACAACATTGCAACAGGGGTGGACATTTCTGCTCTGTGTCTGACACCAGACTAGCTCGCTAGCTCGCTAGATGAAAGAGGCCGGGCAGGGGAACAAGAGAAAAGGAGCTCGATGAGAGAAACATCACCGTAAGATATAATTAGCATCATTTTTTAGTGTCTTGAAAACTAGGACCTATCAGGAAAATCTGGAGTCAAGTCTTACTTAAGTACAAAGCATGGGTCAAAGCAGCATATTATACAATGGTATAGCTGCAGCCTCAAGATTTTTTGCGTCTGTTCTTTCGTCTATATTATTGATGTGATCAATAAATTAGTAAAAAATAAATTAATAAATTTTGAAAAAAGTCATAAACACATTTCTCCATTTTCAATCTGTACGGTACAGAACTGTTGTTTCTCAAATCTTAGGCATGTGTAGCACTGGAATCTCGTGTCAAAGGGGGGGGGAGAGGAAGAGACAGACAGAGACAGAGAGAGGGAGGGAGGGAGTGAGAGAGAGAGAGAGAGAGAGGGGGGAGTGAGGGAGAGAGAGGGAGAGCGAGAGAGAGACACAAGAAATCTTCACCTGACACTTAAAAGAGCTGACCTTCGCCTGTACACCCAACATGCTGTGCTATTTTTAGTAATGGAATGGCAAGGGTAAGGCAAACAATAAGCAAAAAAGGCACTTGTAATATCTTAGTCGTCCAAAGCAGCACAGTCATTTCTGCATCGGTGCCCGACAACAAGTACAACAATTACACACACACAACGTTAGGCACCCTACCTGAATCTACACAATTCACTACTTTTCCATTTGCTTATATAAAGTTCAGAAGAATAAGCATATTATGCTTTGTATGATAAGAATGTATCTCAACATAATATGAATCTTCCAATATCATTTTTTTTTTTTTTTTGCTGAACACAAAATCATCTCCTAAGAAAATGCTGATTGTGCATTAACTATTAACTGTTAAAGTCAACCATATGTCAGTTTGTCGGAAAAAAACTAGCACGGTCATGTTTTTTTTTTCAGCGTGAGTTGAATCTGAATTCATAACATCGACTGTAAAGACGGCATAGAACCTTGAATGTCATGGGAAAGTTTGAATTAAAATGCACCAATGTTTAAGTACAGAAACAAAAAGATTCTAGGACTTGGCATAAAAAATGACTGGAACATACAAATAACTACCCAACCACAATGACAAAAATGATGGACTGTAAGGAGAAATGAGGGGCTACTCCAGTTTTCAAAACACAAGACTTTTGCAAAAGAATGGCAAGTCTAGCATCCCATAAAAACCAGTTGTAGCCACCACAAATTATTGGAAAAATGTATAAATCCCAACTAGTGTGTTTGTTATCTTTCTTTACCACACCCATCGACGCCAGAGTGCCACGTCGCAACATTGATCAGAGCTGAATAAATAGCACAACAGATATGATGCATCGTGTATGACCTGAAACTATGCATAGAAAGTTAAGTAAATTCGAGAATATTGTAAAAATCACAACTCTCTTTGTGTGCCAACAACAAACCCCCCCCCAGTCATGTGACCTAACAAAAATGCTGCAGTGAAATAGACAGAGAGAGTATCAACAACTGGTATCTGCTGGGAAAAAAATGTATCAGATACTTTTGTATAACGTTATGTAAAACAGATAAATCACAATATGTCAAGGAGAAGAAAATATATATATGATTTTTGATCATGGTGTAAACCAAAAACATAAAAGATATCCAGATCTAGGGTAAACTTCACCACAAAAAACAATAGAATTTGTCCACTTGATACTATAAGGTATCGCTGTCGTCTAAGTAGGTCTGTCTCCATTCTTGTTCTTGAAACCTCTTTGGGTTACCACCGGCCCTCCCCTGCACTGGAGCGTTCCCATAGCCAGGGCGAGGCGTGGGGCCCGGCCCATAGCCTCCTCCTCCTCCCACCCCCATCTGTCCCTGGGGATATCCCCCTCCTCCCGACGCCGCGGGGCCTGGGGGGTACCCCCCGCCTCCCCCAGGGGCTGCTCTCATCTCTGTCCCCCCAGCCCCCCCTCTCCAGGAGGGTGGGGGAGCACCCGGTTTTGACTGGGGCGGGGGGTACGCTCTGAAACCTGCGATGCCCTGACCACCCCCGGAGGGGTGTGACGAGACAGGAGGGGGGGGCATGCTCTGTCCTTGCGGGTGACCGCTTGCCGCGTGAGCTGAGGGGGTCGACGACGAGGCCGACGACATAGACCGAGAGGTCGGGTGATTCGGCTTCTGATCTCTCTCGGCGGAATGTCTGTCCTCGTAGCGGTTTTCCCCTCGGCTGCGAGGGCGTGGCTGGGACAGCGGCGGCGGGCCGGGATCGTCTTTGCGCTGCGGCTGGTTCATCATTTTGTGCAGCCCGTGGCCGCTCTCTGAGGTAGCTGTGTTGTGGCGGTGGACGCCCGGCGCGTCTAGTAGTCTGACCGGCTGATGAGAGAAGGGCGGCGGGGGGTTGTTCCTGCCTTGGCCCGCGGGCTGCTGCGGGTATCGGCCAGGTCCTGGGTTGTTGCCTTCACCCCCGTGTTTGAGCGGCGGTGCGCCGGGGTGCGGGTACCCCTGAGATGAGGACGGGTGGCGCTGCTGCTGCTGCTGATCGTGTGCTCGAGGCACGACGGGGGGCGGAGGCTGGGCCGGCTGTCTCTCCTGGTGGCGGGCTGGGGCGTGGTCTCTGGGACCCTGGTGATGGTAGGAGGGTGCGGGGTTCGGATCCCTGGCTCCCATAACCACAGCTCTGTCTGGATGGTTCGGATCCCTGGCTCCCATATCCACAGGCCTGTCTGGATGGTGTGGATACCCCGGACCGTCTCCGTGGTGAGGTGGAGTCCGGGCAGGCTGCTGGGGGTGCATCTGGGTGGCTTGCGGGTGTCCGGGATATGAAGGTTGCTGCTGCTGTTGGTTGGGCCTGGCCCTGTTGTCGCTCGGGTAATATGGCGGGAACTTCTGGTCCGGGTTGCGCCTATCCTCTTCCCGCCAGGTAGGAGGAGGAGGAGGAGGAGGAGGGTGATGAGGATTTTCCATGGAGTACCGGAAGTTCATCTCGTTCTCAGCAATGTACCTCTCTCTCTCCGTGACAGCGGGATCCTGCCTGCCTCCTCTGACATCCAGATCCCCTGGCCGCGGCGGCGGCGGCTGAGGGAACGAGTGCGGCTGCGAGGTGGGCGTGTGAGGCTCTCTGCCCCGCGCTGCAGGGTGGCTGGGATGGGGGCCGGGAGGGTTCTGCAGGGGAAGATGGGGCTGGCCTTGACCCACCTCCTGGGGGGGTCGAAAAGGATGCTGCTGATGCTGATGCGGTGGTCGCTCTTGCGGCTTGTGCTGAGGCTGCGCGTCCATCGGCTGAGCGGCAGCGCCGGCCGAAGCTGGCTCAGGGTGGCCGGCCCGGCTGTAAGCAGCCAGCGGCGTGCTGGCCATCTGCGGCAGTGGCTGAGACACGCTGTGGGAGTGGGCCTGGCCATGACTGACCCCGCCACCCGGCGCTGACATCACCGAAGTGTTGGGCTTGATGGGAGAGTCGGGCACAAACGGCGGGTCTAGCAGGCTGTCGGAGGACTCGTTGAAGCTACCCACGTCGCCAACATCTCCCAGTTTTCTCCACACGACCTGAGGGAACGGGAAACATGTAGGATACGTTACCCAAATGTAGCAGCTTTTCTTTAGAAGTTTTAGCTTTAGTAGAAGCTTTACGGCACTTGCAACACAATAAGGTCATAAAAGTGCTGAAGATTAGAGTTGTTACAAGAGATTAACAAATACAAAAAAGGAGGAGAGATCAGGATGATAGCTCTTTGATAGGAAAGAAGGAGCAAACCACACCAGAGCACTGGCCAACCACCCACTCTTTAGAAAAATTTTATGAATGACGTCTTAGATATGAAGATCTCCACATCGTTGACAAAGTTACAGTGTCCTTCATCTTCAAGGTTGTTACACTGAATCAGTTTTCGAAACAAATGCGAAAGCAAAATTACAATAAAGGAAATCATCAAGACACTGAAAAACGAAACTGATCTTTAAAATATTCAAAAGCAAGATTTTAGAAACCAAAACTCCTAACAAGTCATTGACAACTTTGCGATTATGATACATTTACTTTTATACTCTTGTCCTGCTCTTGTCAAACTCTTGCACTAAAAAAACCAAACAAAAACCCCATTGAAAAGCCACGTTTGCCACAAACTAAAACACACAGTTCCAAATCAAACTGAGACGTCAGCCACAATTTCTCCAACATTCTGAAGCAGAACCTGCATATCTGACACACCCAAACTGTATCTACCTCATCTTAAAGGTTGAACTAACACAGATAAAATTTGACAGACTTATTGTGGATCAACTACAAGGTTATGCTGAATCACAAGCCACATAATCTAACAGACACAATTGTGTCTACTCTAAAGTTACGCTGACACACAAGTTACATAATCTAACAGACTTATAGTGAATCCACTACAAGTTTACGCTGATACACAAGTCAAATAGTCCATAACCTAACAGACTTATAGTGGATCCACTACACCGTTACACAAGCCACATTACATTGCACATCTCTCTGACGATGGCCTTCTCCGAGTCGTCCAGGTTCTCCTCCTCCACTGGCACCTTCTCCAGCTCCTCGTGCACTTGAAGAACCTGGCCCGCGAGTGAGAGAGAGAGAATTAGTTTTAGTAAGGTTTTACGGCACTTGCAACCGTATAAGGTCAGTTAGTTTTAGTAAGGTTTTACGGCGCTTGCAACTGCATAAGGCATAAGGTCATATGGGCACCAACAGGTAGATGTCAACAGAAAAGTCCAAACGGGGAATCAGGCTTACTCTGCTCACCTCTCTTGCCTCAACAGCACAAAGTCTGCTTCGACTATCAATGAGGAAAGAAAAAGCAGCAGTTCCCCCTATGTTGTTCCGGCACAGTATGAGAAGGACATTGATTGATAAATCAGCCCATTTGCAATTCTACAGTGCATAAGAACATGCAAGAATGGTAAGAAAAAGATCATTTACGGCAAAACTCAGGCCCCCCCCCCCTCCCCCCCCAAATAAAAAAAACAACTTAAAAAAACCACACATTATATTCTATTACGATTTAACAAGAAACAAATTGGATCATCCAACACCAAGAGAACATCATTGTCGGAAGGGAGGGGGTGACAAAACACAAGATGCACACAGTTCACAAACCTTCATGGCATGCACAACAGCCTCGGGCTTCCCTGACATCGACGACCTCTGGTTGGAGGGGCTGGCTGGGGCATGCACGGACTACAACACGGCACACACAGAGAGGAAACAGTCACGTTAGAGAGGCCATGCACAGAAATGCATTATAACAGAAAAAAAAAGAAATAAATAGGAAAAGAAAACATTAAACTGGAATAAAATGCAAAACATTTGAACAAAAAACCCCCCATCAAACAACTGGAAATATAACATTGATTCAGAAATCTTTTCCATGCTGGAAAAAAAACAGCACACTGATGAAAATGCAAAAATAATATAAACAGACCAAACACTTTCTGAACATGGCAGCGTTCAATTTTTAGTTTTCTGCAGTTTTATAAGAGTTTTGAGTCACTTGCAACGCACAAAGATCTTACATATTCAACGTCTTCGTTCTACCTATTTTTGTTTTCAAAACAAAGTTAACATGCTTCCTATATTTTACATGCCAAATACTTGGAAAGAAATTGCTTTTTACAACAAAAAAAAGACAACATAATCTGCATGACGGGGGCATTAACAGACATCAAAGACGGACAACCTGTTGAACTTTACTGTGCACCTCTATGACACTGTCAAATATAGTTCTCTATGGTTCCTATGTATTTATCAACTGACTTGAGAGAAGAAAATCCTTTAAAGTTGAGCGTTATCACAAAAAATAATCTTAACCCCACTTCATCCTGCTTTACAGGACGAGCATAAACAATCTGAAGTTATTCATAATTGTCATAAGAACAGCAATGATTTGCTTTTGGCAATTCATCAACGCTTTGAAGAAGTAAAGGAGGAATAAACTTCATAATTTCTTATATTAATCGTTTTTCAGAAAATCTATACATCATGAAGCTTTGCACTAAACCCACCAAAAAAAAAAAAAGAGTTTAAGGGAGGCAAACATTTCTGTAAAGAGGACTGCGGAGTTAAAATGATGACAAACTGAGATGCACACATTTTTCTATGGGCCACAACACAGAAGTAAGAACACATCAAATAGATCTAACTACATCAAAACAAAAACACAGTAAAGACATTTCCCTCTTACCTGACTGTTTGTTCTAGTAAGAGTATTACAGCACTTGAAGCACAATAAGGTCGTATAAGTGCCGAAGATTAGAGGTTTTACAAGAGAGTAACAAACATAAAAAAGACGGAGGAGAGATCAGGAGGAAAGATGTTTGATATAAAAGAAGGAGCAAACCACATCAAAGCACCCACCAACCACCCACCAATTTCTGTTTTGTGAGATTGCTTGTATAGCCAAGATAAAAAATTGAGGTTTTTATTTTCCTTCACTTTACCGCTGTTTTTGGATTAGTCGTGTTCAGTTTCAGCAGACTCCATTGTATTAATTATTACAAATGTCAGATTTCACTTTCTAGTGAACGAACAGTTCACTTCACAGCACACAACAGAGAGAACAAAACAGGGGAAAATAAATCCAGTACCACAAATAAGGGCACACCACGTTTTAGAGAGAAAGAGAGAGAGAACAAAACAAAAGAGACCAACCGACCTGGCCTGGGTGTAGAACTGAAATGTCGTCCGCGTTATTCATCCCGACTGCTCCATCAACTCCTTCGGCTGTGTTTCTGTCAATTCTCTGAGGATCAGAATGAGTCACAGAGAACCTTGACTACAACAAAATCTTCATTGTTTGCATAATTATTCTACAACAGAAAAATAAAATTTTGTGGACTTAAAAGAGGACAATGAAAAACAGGACATTATATACACTATTACTAAAAACCACAGACGATTCCACTCATGGACACTTCAATACAATAATGAATATCAGTGATGGGAAGGCGGCATCGCTAGTGTTGTGCCAACTTTTCTGAAGTGGTGGTTCGATTTTCATTAACAATGAGTTAAAACTGATTAGGCGGAAATTCTACACTTTTCGGAATCGTGGGTGAAGTCATTTGCAGGACCGACAGAAATCAGCAGGTGGCTTTGAAGCCGATACTAATCACTGATGTCGAATTTTGAACTAAATCAGACTGCATCATAGTAAAAATTATTCTACGGCAGAGCTCCTTCATTTCTTATCTCACCAGACTTTTTTCCTAATGATGACATCCCCTCCTCCTTAACTTGAAAACTCAGAAAAGTTTGATCCCTGCAAATGTTTATGTAAAGATATATTTACAACACAACAACTTTGAATGTTTTGACTCACCAGGGCCAGAGACTTCTTCTCCTCCTCTAGCTTGTGTACCTTCAGCTCCAGCTCTTTGATGTAACTGACGGTGGAGCTGGGAGCTGGGAGAGGAAGAGAGAAGACAAAATGTGAGGTGTGCTGACAAAATGAGTTACTTCTTTCGGATTTTAGCCGTATGGAAATTGATACATCAACATTATAAGTGGTGTTTGTACAATTTGTAAGTATGGAATAATAAAAGACAGGGTAGACTTGAACAAAAAGGCATCAACTGAAAATCTATAAATCTGACCCCAGTGTTGATTTCGAGCCGATATCTCCATTCTTGGATCGCAAGAAGTAACTCATTTTGTCAGCACGCCTCACAAATAGAACTACAATGTGTGCCTCTCATTTGCCCAACATTGTCTACACGGTGTGGAAACAGGAAACAACCAGGTCACTCCTTGCACTGAACAATGGGACTTAACAGATCATTAATAATAACAGTCCGTCCGTCAGTACCTCGTGATAATCAATACATCTGCAGAGCATGATATTTTACAGGCGAAAATTTTAAAAATAAGGGTTAAGATGACTGATAGCTTCTGCTACAGCCATTGAGACTAATTCTGGCAGAGAATCATATGCCACATTCTGAGATTATACCACATTACATCCTAGCCTTACATACAATTTTTTCACAATATATTTCCTATTCTCTTTCTTTCCACATTCGTTTCCCCAGATGGAAAACCCCCCCCCCAAAAAAAAATCTTGCATCTTTAACCTGATTCATGCAATAAAACAATGGGTACTCACAAAAGTTCAACCCTGAGTATGTGAACACAAGACCCATACATGACATGATATACTGCAACAATTTCTGTTGGTGCAAGAATGAAATTAAGAGTCAATTACTTCTTTAGAATACACACAGAGGACCCCAGCATTCTCAACAGTTACTCTTTCACTAAACTGCAATGCTACACGAGTTGATTTGCAGAACCATCCATTTATGTATGAAAAGAAAAACAATCTGAAAAGAAATTCATTGACATGGGAAAGTTACCAACCCACATTTCCAAAAAGCACTAGCGTAACTTACTCAAAGAAAAGTTATTCAGTGGGGTGACCGAGGGTGTCGGCGTGACAGAGCCCGTCGTGTCCATGGCAACAATCCCGTCCTCATGGCCCGTGACCGTCCCATTACTGCTCCCGTCGCCCTCATCCCGGTCCCCGGTCATCCTCACGCGCTCCTGGTCCAGGTAGAGACACAGCTCTTTCAGCTCCATGTTCTCCGTGACCAGCTCGCTCTGTCTCTCCTCCAGCTCCCTCAACTTTTCCTGGTACACAGCCACCTGTCCAAAGACAACAAAAGTTGATTTCCCCTCAAAACTACAGAGCTTTCTTCCACTTTATCCTTCAATTATAATTCTATACCTGTTTCATTTTGTAGTCAGACTTCTACATAATTAAGCAAAAAATGCAGTTACTGACGAATGGAAAAAAACATTCAATGATTAAGAAGATTTACAACCCAATCTATCAAATCACAGTTCACTTTCACCTTCAGTCCTTTACCGTGTCGTAGTTTGTTTCCCCCCCCCCCCCCCCAACCAAATAAAGCCTCCATACAAACACATACCATGACCTCATATAGTCATCTTTATCGTCCAGTCTACATTTACTTGCTACAATCAAAGTGGAACTGACCCTTGAATACCTTATGGTCACAGCTTTTTCATACAGACAGGTGGACATTGCAAGGATACAAGAGAACCGAAGGAAGCTAAAAGATACGAATTAAGTGTAACCATTCCAAGGTTTTCACAAACACTTCAAAACAGCACTCTGTGAAGCTACTCACTAGTCTGACATTGGTGTCAAGGAAGGCTTGACAAATTAACTCTTTCACTACCATGAGATGTGTTTCACGACTCTCCGCTTCCTCCTTCAAAACCACACCTACTTTTGTAATAATTGAAACTGAGATCTCAGGCTGAAGAATGATCGTTTTTAGCAAAATGTTGAGACAGGTCATTATTTCCCCTTTACTTTCACATATAATGCTTGTGGTTAATGTTGAAAATTGAACTCAATATCTTTAATTTGTCCGACGGTAGGGAAAATGAGAAAGTAGGTCACAGATAGGGCCCGGTCCAGGTGAGGAAAACCTTCTGGTAGTAAAAAAGTTTTTTCAAAAGTACCAATCCACCTACCTCGCTTCTCATGACACTGGCTGTGTAACGGCCAAAACGTTGCCACTCCCTGGCCAATTTACGTCCTCTCTGTCTGTCATCGTCTAGGAAACAACACAGGTCTCTCAGTTCTTGATTATCATCTTGTAATTTCTGGTTCACATCCTTCAGGCTCCGAGTCTCCAGGACAAATATCTGAAAGCGTCTGTTCACATCCTTGACCACGTTGCCATGCTCAGCCATCAGAGACTTGTAATCTCCCTCTACGCGTCTCAGGATTCGAAGCAAGTCCTCCAAACCTTGACAAAAACAATTATCCACGAAACAATCATCAAATTATGACATGCTTCAACAAATGCTGATCAAACAGATATATAACACAGCAACAGCAAGAAGAAAAATTTCCCCTTGAATTTATTTCTACTCTATTATAACTTACAAATCAAAATTCCACTACTGACAACAACAAAAAACGAGACCAAAAACAGGTAGAAAGAATAACCAAAAATTTACTTTTGAACAGGTAAATCACCTGATATTCAGTTTAATACAACTGCTGCATGCATGACAATGCATAAGAAGAACATTCTACATTGTGGTAACCAACATTCAGATGTTGGCCCAATCAAAAAGAATTCGTTGTCAGAAGACAATACAAAATTAAGGCTTTACCCTGAAAGAGAGCGGAAAACACCAACTAAAATGTAGTGAAGTGTGCATAGAAAAATGCATTTAATAAATTTCATATCAATAAAATAAAATATAGGAAAACTATGAAAACATCAAAATGTCACTGACCTTTTTTGCGAAGATCATCATCGTTCAATTTTGAGAGTGCTGAAACAGAGGGGCTTGGTGAGATCTGTTTCAGAGTTGGGATCTTCTCACTTCTGGGTGCAGGGTTGCTGTTCCCCGTTGACTGGCTTGACATACTGGAAGGGGTTGAAGGGGCGCTGGGCCGTTGGTTGTCCCAATCCATGTCGCTTTGTGGCAGTGTCAGTACTTCACTAAAAGGAAAATAGTCATTTCAAGATGGGAGGGAAAAGTGCAAACAATACACAACATGAGAAAGCAAAGTGTAACTACTTTTTATATATATTATACTACTACTACTACTCTAATTATGGCTGGACATTACTTTGCTCTATCTGCATCAAAGAAAAAAAAAAGTGTTTTATATAGTCAGGTATGAAAATATTATTACAAAATCTCTTATGATCAATGGAGCTTGACTATCACACTACAAAAATTAGCTAACATTTGAATCCATAGTAATTCAGTGGTGTCCGCCTGACAGCAATCCCCTTGGGAAGCAAGCCTTGGTTGCTGTTAGGCAGTTGTTACCTGTTAAATTAATTTTCAAAAGGGGGTAATCTCCCACCAACCCGTGCCCTTCACACACACACATACACAAACACACACACACACACACACACTAGGGCGCAGCACACACACACATGCACAGGTTCTAATAGTGGGATGTGATGATGTTACGTTGGAAAAAGTAGAAAAATAAACAGTGTCAGCTTTCAAGTGAGATGATCCTTGATCGCATCACAGGGCCATAATATTTATGGAAGAGGCTCCCCCCCCCCCCCCCCCCCCCAATCCAGGACTCTTGAAAGAATATCTTGGTGAGGAGTAGGGGGATGTGAACTTCTGTACTAGGCATATATATAGTGTAATATTGGCTCAAGCAGGTGTTATAAGGAGACAAGAGAACGATGCAAGCACACACTGAAATTATGGGCCTATTAAATCTCTTGTTCACCATTTTTGCATCGTCCAAACATTTTTCGTTTTTTTGTCTGACAATTCACAGCAATGAAAGTTGCTGTTAGAGAAAAAACTTTGCTGTTAAAGGAGGCTATTTATACAGGAAAATTCTAAAAGAGGAGCTTAGATGGGCTGCTGTTAGGTGGAGGCTGCTCTTACATTAACATATTGTTAGTGGACACCTTGGCCTCTAAGTTTTTCATTTAAACTGACTTTCAAGAGACTTCACAGAGTTTGACATATCTAAAATCTTTAACATTCCATCCCCCCAGTTGAAACTTATCAACCCCCCCCCCCCCTTTAATTAGATAGGCCTAGAGGCTTAATGATAATTATTAGACTAGGCATGGCTTATCAATTTAAGTTGCCTTAGGCCTTAGAATGAGCTGCAGTTTGAACAGCTCATGATTCCCAATTATTGACCATTCACAAGACGTGTTTCATGGCAGACCGAAAAGTTAAAGACTCTGGCTTTGAAGTGTCACTGGGAACATGATTGCTTCTCAGCTGAAGTTAAATCATCTAGATTGTAGGTTAGGACTTGAGAAACATAATTTTATCATGTTATAAACTGTTAAAATTACTCTCAGCAGACTCCCTTCCAATCTACCTGAGAGCAAAACAAAGTCTGACAAGCAGGCCAGTATCAAGCTCAAGAGGGCCTTACAGACTTGGGCAAGCAGCCCCCCCCCCCCCTCCCCTTTAGATTTTTTTTCTCATTCTACTCTTATACCAGCAGTCTAATTGATTAATTGATAGATCAAGATCAAGGCCTACAACAATTTACCTTTGCCAAGGGGGGGGGGGGGGGGGGGAGGGGGGGGGTTCAAGGCAACCCCTCCCTTTAAAAAGTTTGCTGTAAAGTGAAAGAGTTTAATTAACACTAGATCTAGTTTAAAGAAGAAAAACAATCGCTTTTCACGTAATCACTTGGTACTCGAAGAGTCACCACAGGAACTTTTTTGGTCAATCACTGAAACACAACACACTGTGACAACACACAGCAGGCTCTAATCAATGAAGTGTTCAATTATTATTACAAGGAGAGAAAGTAAAACAAATGGCAGTTTGGGGCAACAATAACAAGTCATCATCAGAGCACTTTCTACGGAAACCTGAAAGAGTAAAATGAATACTCTTAGAAATTGTGCACGCACCTGACAATACTCTGATTGTTCTTTCAATTTCAAGTAACGCTCGAAATTCCTTTACAGTGTGTCAGCCAATTTAGAAACATGGCGGAAATGGATTTGGGGAATCCCCGCAAGGGGGCGCTACTGCTAGATATGTTTCGACAAAAAGCGACTTTCTTCATTTCGCCCTCAACCATTTTATTTCAGCGTCGAAAATCGAGAAAAGCGTTTTTCATTTTTGACGAGCGGTTTGATAAATCAGAGTTGTGAAGGGTGTGTTTCCTTTTTTTAAAGCTGACTGACAAGAACGTTAGTGGGCGGCGGCTTGTCGGCTCAACATTGCACGACTGCCCACTCACGATGCAAGTCCCAGGTGTACCGCAATAGAATGCTCATGATTGAGAGCAAGAAAGTAGCAGGGAGGGGTTGTAACTATGCTAATGCTCCATAATTTATTTTATGAGTATTAAAGGGCAATAACGATTATGATGACGTTACACTACACCAAGCACCCCCCCCCCCCAAATAATAATAAAAATGGCCAATAACACTATTATATTTTGGCCTATTGTATACATTTTATTATGGTGAATGGTGGGGACAGCTGGTAGGCCTACCGTGTGACCTTGATGTGGACCATAATACGTTTCTGAATGGTATCGATTCAACGATGGTTTTGGCATTGACGTGGTGATATGTGGCATTGCGGGTGTTTGTTCGAAATTAAACTTGCCCACGTCGCGCATTTCCCTTACATAGATTGGTTTTTTTTTGTGTTGTGGCTCCTACCACCTCTCCGTTTACCTGGTCCCGAAAAAACCCACAAAAAACCTACCAAATTATCATTAAGTGTCACAACAAACAACCCAAACCAAAAAAAAATATAAACGTTCAATATATAATATCCTTCGGGGTGAATGGAAAATTATTCTTGGTGTGTGTGTTTGTGTGTGTGTGCGTGCGCGCACGTGTGTGTGTATGTGTGTGTGTGAGAGAGAGAGAGAAAGAGAGAGAGATCAAAGAGAGAGATCAGAGAGAGAAAGAGAGAGAGAGAGAGAGAGAGAGAGAGAGAGAGAGAGAAGAGACAGAGAGACAGGGAGAGAGAGAG